AAGTGAGTCCCACATGAATTGCACTTGGCTGTGCGTCCCCCTAACCGACGAATGTCTGTATGTTTGTCTGGTCGTCTGGCTCCCCTGACTGTTTGTATTTGTAACACTTCTTTGCATTTTTTATGCCCTGTCTTTATAAAGGATGCACACAGCCAGTCAACTCTTTGGTTCGTGGTGCTCCATCTCCATCGCTGTGGATACAACACCCCTCCAAGCCCCACCATCCAGTGTGCAGCATCAAGTGCCTTTGGCAGCAGCTGTTTGGCATTTCTGTGGCAGCGGTTGTGGCTGAGCTGCGGTTCAGTTCCTGATTCTGATTCTGATTCTCAGTTCGCAGTAAATTCCACTTCCACGGTCCACGCCTGCTCATTATGTTAAGTTAGCTTAGCCTTTGCCTGCGCTTTGCTGTTGCAAACCAGTTACAGACCAAAGAACTTAATTTCATTCAACAATAATCACTTTAATGAAAGCAAAATAAAACAGTTTCCCAAAAATCCAAAACCAATAACAGCATTTTCGTATTTTTTTTAGTTTAATTATTTTGTGAAAACTTAATATTTAAATAAGAATTTTCTTCCAAGCCAAGATTTTAAATAAACAAATAGTGAAGCAATTAATTTATGATTTATTCTAATAGTATTTTATTCACTAGCTTTTTTAATAAGAAGGCAATAAAAAATTTACAATGTTTAGGTTTAAGCAATATTTGAATTCATAATGAGATTACAATGCATTACGAACAGGTGAATACATTTCGACAACCAGAGTGCACATAAAATATGTTCAAAATTCGGAAAAATATTTATTGTTAGAGAGTCTGTGCTGTCTTGCTGTTCTATGTATTTTGCAATTTCTTTCAGGCATAAATCAACAGGACGTCATCGGCAAGGCAAAGGCCAGGAAATGTCCTGTCATTTTGTATTAAAACAGTTGCAGTAATTTATGACAAGACATGCAGTGGGTTTACCTTTAGTAATTTGAGAATTTTAATTAAAGGCACTGAAGAGCAGCAGCAGGCTGCATTTCAATCTACGCACTCGATGAGACGTGTGTGGTGAATGGGGAAGGGGGTCAAAGGACCATACGATGGAAGGACTCGCACAGTTGGGTGCCATGTGCAAATGCATCGAGGGACATTTGCATTTGCCCGGCATTTGTAGATAATGTCCTGCGCCCAGGAGGACAACCAAACTGGACTATCTCTGGCATATACACTCAAAAAATTAAATATTACACAGAACTGGAATATTTATTGTTAATTTTTAGCCACTTATTGCTGGTTATGTTATTATAATGTTAATTTTATTCTTAAGAGAGAACTATAATTGGAAAAAAAGGTGTTTTTTACTTATGCAAGTACTATCTCTAGCTTACGAATATTCTTATAACTAGATTGACCCTTTTCTCTGAGTGTGGAGCAGAGCGAAGGCCAGGCTATCGAGGTCGTTATTAAATGCAAGTGCATCAGCAGTGCGGTTGCCTAGCGTCCTGCTTTTGTGTGGCCTGCATGAGTCCACTGCACTGAGAAGAAACATTATGATAGCTAATAATATGGTTCTTAGATCTTGAATATAATCTAAGAAAAGAAAATTGATTATGTTAAAGTCCAGTAATTAAAAATTCCAACTGAAGGGTAAAAACTAATACCTTAAAATTTTTTATTATTTTCCAAGTGAAATTTATTATTCCATTTTCTCTAAGTGTACGTGTGTCCTGCGAGCCTGTGTTGCAGAGTGTGCTTCCTGTGTGCATTACAACTACATGGAAGCAAGGCGGGTGCTTGTACTACTAACCTCTTGCAATTTTCGGTTTTGAATTTGCTTAAATTGCATTATTGTCCTTGTTGTTGCTGGTGGTTTGTATCTACCGTGGTTGTTGTTGCTGTCGATGGTGGTGGTGCCACCAGAATCTGATTGCCTGCCTTTGTGTTTGCCGCCCAAACTTATCCCCTTGTCCAATTTTGTGCTTATTTGTTGTAGGCTTGCCAGCCTTGCAGCTTTAACTAATTGAAATCGATTTTGGCCAAGTCCTTAGTCAGCGACGCATAAGGACACGACCAAAAGGTTTCCGAGTTCGCTCGACGAGAATCAAGAATCATGTCAGCGTTAAGCCCAAATACGACAAATGCAAAGTGACTGTCAGGAGTGCGGTTGCAGAATCGATTTTTGGTGATTTTCGCATTCGGTTGCAAATGAAGCAAATGCCTAATAAAACTTGCATGTGCCTTAAGTGCACTTCAACTTTCAACTGGCAGAGAAAGCTGCTTTATACACTTTCACCAAGGTCTGAAAACATTGTAAAACCATACTTTTAGCATCAAAAATGCGAGACACAAATAACAGATTATACTTTTTAAAATAGCTCGTTACTTTCTAGCTGAGCCTAAGAGTTAAGTATTTCCAGTACATTTTTTATACCCTTGCAGAGGGTATTATAATTTTGGTCAAAAGTGTGCAACGCAGTGAAGGAGACATCTCCGACCCTATAAAGTATATATATTCTTGATCAGGATCACCTCCTGAGTTGATATAGCCATGTCCGTCTGTCCGTCTGTCTGTCCGTCTGTCTGTTTCTACGCAAACTAGTCTCTCAGTTTTAAAGCTATCGAGTTCAAACTTTGCACACCCTTCTTTCCTTTGCACGCAGTTATATGTCGGAACGGCCGGGATCGGCCGACTATATCCTATAGCTGCCATATAACTGATTGATCGGAAATGCCATAACTTTGGTGTTTGTAAAGTTAGGAAGTTGGAAATTTCTATGGGTTTTACATTTGGCCAATAAATCCGACCTACCAAATTTCATAAGGATCGGCCGACTATATCCTATAGCTGCCATATAACTGATTGATCGGAAATGCCATAACTTTGGTGTTTGTTAAGTTAGGAAGTTGGGATTTTCTATGGGTTTTATATTTGGCCAATAAATCCGACCTACCAAATTTCATAGGATCAGCCGACTATATCCTATAGCCGCCATATAACTGATTGATCGGAATAACTTTGGTGTTTGTTAAGTTAGGAAGTTGGGATTTTTTATGAGTATTAAGAATGCATCATATGAATAATTTTGGAGAATATAATTTACAGAGTATTCTGCAAGGGTATATCAACTTCGGCTCCGCCCGAATTAAGCTTTCCTTTATTGTTATATACACAAATATGTTTCCTCTAAACAACATCTTAGTTAAACCCACAATTTCGATATATACTTGTACATTCAATAAAATTTATTTTTAAGTTATACAATTTCTAAAGTATTAATCCTATCAAAAGAAATTATTTTTCTTTTATTTTTTTCAATTTTCTGGTAGTTAATTGTTTTCAATTCTTAGTGCATTCACTCATTGGGGATGCGGTCTGTGTTTTCATGCTTAATTAGATGGCAATCGAAACCACAGGGCGTAGGGGCATGCCATGTTATAATTAATAGCAGCCGAGCCAAACAGAAAAGCAGACCTGCACAATTGCACAACATGCAGCCAATTACTGCTTTGATTAAGCAAGTCCTTGTAAAATAAGGGGAACCCCAAAACTTTCCCTCTTTAAGTACACACGCCTCCAAAATGTGTGCTCTCCAAATACAGTTCGATACGTGAATTGGAAACTTTGCAATCGGCTTCATGTTAATTAGCAAAAGTTTTGCGTTTGGCTTAGATTCAACAATCTAGGCATCCGGTTAAGTGTTTGGATACTCGAAGCCCACAAATATCAGTGGCTTTAGGCGTCTAAAACTGAGTTTTTCGATAATTGCAATAGTTACTAACACAAATAATTTTTATACTTTCAATTAAAATATGAATTGAAATTCGATAAATTTTTCTTAATATGTACAACATTTTAAATTTTACTTTTCTATTTAACCTTCTGTCATTTTCAAATCAAAATCTTTTAAAACCATAACCTCATCTTATCTTTGATGATACCAACCTCTGATGCAATTATTGATGTTCCATGTTTTAACCCCATATGCTCCCAACTCTTTCGTAATCCCATCAGATTTGACTGGCTGTGTGTCACAGTGCCAAGCGCACATACGGATCCGGATGTTACCTTACTGACATGACTTCGAAAAAGTTGGAAACATTTGTGAAAATTGACAAAGTTTCAAGTCAGCAACAAACAGCTGGTAAACAGTGCAGCATCATGCCATGCATGTTTAATATCTCTCTGAGTGAGTTTGTTTGCACATTGAAAAAAATTAGATCAAGGGTCAGACCGATTGTCAGTTTCAATTGAATTTAAGGCACTCTAAGTAGAGATTAAAAATATGTATATGTCACTAAAGTGAGCTTAATTAATTTTATTTAAAAGTATTTAAAGAACAAATATTTCAATTAAAGTTTTTAAGCACTTTCCAAAATGAAAAAGTTCAAGGCGGCGAGCAAAGCAAAATATAAATGGTAAGAAATCTATTTTAAAAATTTTGATTTACTAAAATGAATAGGTATACTTACTTCTTTAAAAAATAGTATTTTTTGTTATATAATTTGGTTTTTGTAAAATAATATTTTTTTTTTAATTGACCCTGATATTATGAAAGTTTTCCAGTGTATCTGTGAAAGGTATGCGTGTGCCTGTGTGTCAAAGGCATCTTGTGGTTGAGTTTACCTAGTGAAATTGAAGCCGCATTGTGGCGACCATCGCCAACTCCAACTTCCACTGATTGCCTAACTGATGTGCGTTTCCACATATATATCTACTCCATCTCCCAGTTGGGTTTCGGGCAGTATGGAATGGCGAAGTTTGTCTGGATGGCGACCGCTGGCTTGTGGTTAGACTGCACTGTATTTGATTGATTTGGTTTGCTCTCATTTGCTTGCATAAATATTTGCACAGCTCTGAAACGGGGGAAACGGAAATCGACATTGGGGCCTTGGAAGAGGGGGGAAAATAGAATACTGACCAGTTAAGTGGAACATTTTTGCCCAACTGCCTGTTGGCATTGGACAAATTTGGTTTTAATGAAATTACCACGATTTGATTTTGTTTATTTTTACACTTCTTTTATTTAATTAATTTGCCGTATTTGGTTTTCGGTCTCTGCCGCATTTCATCTCCGCTCATATATTAATTTAGTTGTATTTCGTATGTATCTATTTTACCTATGGTGGCAATACAATTTAATTGCTGATTATCTACTTTTAATTAAATTCCATAATGATTACTTTTCCAATAAATGCAAAGAAAAATGAAAAAACGCAATGACATCGATGAAATAAACAGCATTTATGAGTGCTCCGAAAGTGTCAATCGAGTTACGCAGTTCATTAACCTGACATGTTTTTTGCATCAACGTGTACTTCAGAACAGTTTAATTTATCACAACAAATTGAATTACATATATGTGTATATATATTGATAGTATTACTAGCTAGTAAATACTGTTCAACTCGTCTCGTAACGATTATAATCTTCAATATCAATCGAAATCGCTAGCAACATAAGTTGGGAGCATCAATAGTCAGTTGGATCTTTAAAGATAAAGTCTCTAGATATAGTCTTTAATTTTCTCGATCAAGTATGCGAGAACTTTGGGTGCCATCTTACAAACTAATTTTCTCGACTACCACGTTCATGCGGGCTTTTATTTGCAAACAAATAATATATTGAATTATTTATCAGTCATAAAAACATTACTTATTAAGGGTGCGAAATTTACAATAAATGGTATAAAATTTGTAAAACTGCGTATTTAACAATAATTATTATGAATTTATAAGCAGAAGTTCAGAAAATAAATGGATATTATCCCTATAAACAGAAAGTTAATTATTTACAATTAATTTTATTTGGCAAATGGCAGCCCCATGAACGTGCTAATTGTTTACACTTATTGAACAACACTTAAGATCTTAACTAAATGCATTTAAATGCCACAGTTCGTGTGTCATCGTGTGTGTATTTCTCAGAGTGTCACTGTCAAGCACAGTGAGTACTATTATACGTGTATCGTGTACTCTTGCCGCTCCTGTTCCTTCTTCTCGTGATACCTAGAGGTTCGCAGTACTGGTTAGTATTGGCTTTGGTTCAAGTGCAAGATCAAGTTCAAGTTCGGGGTAGGTAGACGCTACAGGCATGCAACACAAGCTACGGTCAAGCACTTTTGGGCGGCATTATGAATTCGAGGCTTCGGATACCTTACCTTGCCAACAGTGAGGTCAACTCCTCGCGGTCCATCTTGGCCAGCTGAGCTTCCCCGGTACTCTCCATCACGCGCTGCACCTCCAGATCCAGTGCCCGCTGCTCCCGCTCGCAGTCGCTCTGGTCGCCCGGCTCCCGGCCGTCGTGGAATCCGGCCGGCGGTCGGAATCCGCCGGAAAGGTCGACCCCCGCCCCCGCCATCGCGGCTATGGAGGCGGCCAGGGAGGCCGCGGTCTCCGCATCGACCTCACTGTCTAAACTAAAGATTCGGGGTGGGTGAAATCGTCAAAAGATTTTCATTTATAAGTCTAAAATCGAGTCAGCATCTAGCCATCTAGTCTGCAGTAGGTATGACATTCACTTGTGCTACACTATCTAAATAAAATTGTGAAACAGAACTGCTTATTTAGAAAAGGCCACCATACTTGTGCACCCTTTTTAAATGTTTTCTATTTAAAACGCAAAAATATTTATTTACTTTCAAAAATAAAAACTGGTAATGTATTTTAATGTCTAAAATAATAAAGGAAAATAAATAATACTTTACAATTTGTAAGCTGTTTGTTATTTAAAACGATTGGCAGTAAAATAATATTTTGAAATTGGAAAATATTGCATTTTAAAATGTGACTGAATGATTTTCCGACTCCTTGTAAATCTCTAGAATATTTATTTGTGAGTACCATATCCTACTTTGCTGTTTACTATTTTTAATTTTTTTCATTGTTTTTGGTAATTAAATTTGGATTTGTTAGGGTTTAGGTACCTGAACTACCTGTTGCTACTACCAGGGCACTTTCTTCGCTCCAACGTTTGGTTGCTGGGCTGTTGTGCGGCGCTTCCGTGCTTCCGGCTTCGCTGACCGGCGCTCCGCTTCTCGCCGGGAGCCCCTCCCCCTCCACCGCCACCGCCTCCGCCGCCGCCCAATCCCATGGCCATGCCCATTCCAAGGACATGGCGGGGGGTGTTGTGGCGACGCTCGGGCCCCGGCGATCCCTGGTCATTATTGGACTCGGTGCTGGAATCTGGTCGAAACATATCTGAAAGATTGATGTGGTGTACAATAAAGTATTATTAAATTATTAATAAAAAGTTATTTATATTATATTGTATACTTCTTTAGAAAAAAAAACATTTATTCATTTTAATGTATTTATCTTAATGTTATTAAGTATACGCACCTACGACCGCACGACCATCGCTGCTGCGCGACGACTTGCAGGGCACTCGGTAGGTGGGCATGTTGGAGAACTCGGTGCTGGGACTGATGCTCGTATCCGATTCCGAACCGGCCACCACTCCGCTGCAGGCGCCGCTGCTCTTGGTGCTCCGCCCTCCATTGGATTTCTTCGAGTGTCCCGCCTGCGAACCGGCCACTATCGTCATCGACTTGCTCAGCGTGGACTCATCTAAGCATGAAAACATTATGTCATGCATTTATTATTCTACATATCAATTTGAGGCTGAGGATTACCATTTCATTAAATCTAAGCCTTTATTAAAAGCAATTATTATGATAACATCTCTGTCACAAACTGATTGCTCGTTTTATTCAACAACCGTACAAACAATAATTTTGTGTGACAGCGTAGATTTAAATACATTCATTTTCTGTCACTCAAACCAAATTTAGTTCGGCGTAAAATTACTGAAATGACTTCTGCAAATTTGTCCTTAATAACATGAACGGTAAAGAGAACTCACTTCGTTCTATCCCTTTCGTTTTATCAAATCTACATTTTAAATCATTTTAAAATTATATAATTTACAATCATCCTATTTTATCAAACATATTATAACATTTTTAATCTATAATTAATTGACTTATAAATAGTGTGGGTTGACTGTTGATACTTTACATATTACAAATTATAACTACTTACCCTCCGTGTTGTAGTAGCGCTGTTTGTGCCAGCTGGACTTGCTCTTCACGTGCCCAAATCCTGAGCTGGGCAGCAGTGGATAGGCGGTGGCGTTCAGGTTCTCTCCCTCTGGATGCCCGAAAGTCTTGAACTGCATGGTGTAATCGAGGGGCGTTTGGGCGGCCACGGCACGTGTGGGCGTCTTGGCCGGAGCTCCTGTCCGTCCGCCATTCACACTGAACGTAGCATATGGCGAAATCTCGTACATTTCTAGTACACAATCACAGAAGACAAAAATTAGTTAAAAGCTCACTTGGAAAAATTCTAAATTATGTATTAACAACTTAATTTACTTCCTAAATCGCTTAAAGTAGGTCTACGTTTATTTTACGCTATTATTTTAAGCCATCATTAAACTATGTTTAAGCAAAATTCTCTCATGTGAATTCATATTGTATTTAAATATAAATAAATCCAAATAAAAAATATAGTAAATAATATATATTTGCCCTATAACCTAAAATAAATATTTAACTAGTATTTGTTAACGTGTTGCCAGCGATGTAATTGCCACCTTTAGGGAAGCACACGTTTCGCGCTTATAGACTCAATCGACTTACCTGACTCGTTGCCCTTGTCCACTGTCTTAACCGGCGAGGCGCTGTACACCTGCTGATTGCGCCGATTTTCATGGTCCTCCTTGTAGTCACCCGGCAAAGTCCTGGATTCGTAGCCCTCGGCGATGGGTCCACACAAGGTGCGTCGGTGTTTGATGGTCAGGGCGCTGGGAAGGTAGGAAGAGACAAAGCTCCATTATGAACCAAATTGAAAGATCAGAACAAGTTTTCCTTGTATTACGCTGCTGTTAATAACTCATTGATCGCTGGCAGAGGTAACTAAGCTAATGTTACTTCACTTCTACACTGAGGCTTTTAAAGACCAAATTTTAGGAGATGGATTTTATATTGCTCAAAAATGTAGTCATTTTTATTGTGACATGAAGCTTAAAATCAATATTAGGAATTTACGTAATTAGATTTTATTTATTGTCGCCTAAAGTAGGTTTATGTGAGACTGTTTTAAGGGCCATACAAATTTGTGGAAGTGCAGCATTTAATTGGGAAAAATGCAACTGCACAAAATGATCCAATAAAAGTCAAACGAAATTACTTATAGTTTTTTTTTAAGTCCATGATTCAATCTGTTTGGGGATTAAGGGGTTTCTCATTGGCCTGTTTGCAAAGCTCCCGTTCGTTGCTTTTGCATTCGCCAGCAAGAGAGTTAATAAATCCTTAATTAACATTCGCAAGCCATTACGACAAACGACTTCGTCCTGCACGGGCCTCAATTCCCAGTTCGATTCCCCTTTCATCCGGGAAAACCCTGTGAACACCCCAATCACCCCGATTCGCGTAAAAACAGGACGCACTTACATCGTTATGATGGAAACGGTGATGATGACGACGACAATTAGCGTCGCGAACCAATCACCGCTGGTCGGATTTGTTGCGTTTATCAGATTGTTCATCAAATCGTTTTCCGAGGGGAAAACCGATGGTGGCGGAATGGTGATGCCATCGATGTTCGTCGTGCTGAAATGATAATGCTCCGTCGTTTTTCCCGCATCGTTGGTGGCGGAGATTCGCAGCTGATACCACTTCGCCGGCAGAAAGTCGCAGAATATTAAATTTTCACGGTTTTCCTCGGCGTTCGAAATATCCGATGTGACAACTGTCCACCGTATGTCGCCTGGGGGTAATGGCCAATGGAAAACACACGCAAAGGACACACAAACACATTCCGGAAAGAAGAGAGATGGAAAAAAGGAAATTATGCATCATACGCTACGTTGAACGCGGCACGGACTACGGAATAAATTTGATAAATATTTATAAATACAAATGGCTGTAGATTGGTCAGTTAATTGAAAACAAAAATAATTATATTAACTGTATTTAATTTAAAGCGAATTAAGCGTCAGCAACTGGGTGACACAAGGTTTCCTACCTTTATGACGCCTGAATACTCTTAATTAAGCAATTACAAATTTTAATTAAGGTCTCTTAGCCGGTTTAAATTGTGGAAAAATAATGTAGTTGCCTTGACGGAGTCAAATGTTTACAAAAAATTAAAAACACAACTTTTACAAAATCATATTGGTTAAATTTATATTTTGACATCTGAAAAAATTGTATAAAATAAATATTCATGGATATGATGTCATTAATACTTTGATAAGAATAATTTGGCAAACAAAACCAATAACAATAAGTCATGAAATTTATAGAGTTTAAAAACCAATTACGAAAAAAATTAAAGTTACATCTATACATAAATTAGGGAGCTCATTACATTTATTACTTTTTTAGATTCATTACATATTAGAAAATAATTTTAAATTATAGTTCAGCTAATTTTAAGCGGTAAAAAACTTTAAAAAAACAATCAGTTAAATAACAGGCAAATTCTTCAATGAATAATACAATTTAGTCGGCTCGTTGACCATTTTTTTTTAACCAACTAGTGCCACCCAGAACTTCTGGGTGTAAATGAAAATCCGGACCCGAATGACTCGCCCATGCATTCATTGCTAATTCGCACTCACCCAGCGGTCGGTGCTCGATGGAGAAATGATGAATGCTGCAGCCGCCGTTGTGCCACGATGACAGCTTCAAATTCACGCACGTCGCATTTGTGGCAATTAGTTCGTTGCCGTTCGGGGCCTGAGAGGCTGCAAATGGAAATCGAAAATGTAAACGAAATAAAGGTGGAAAATGCAAAGAGGGACTTACAGTCCCGGTCAAAAGAATAAGACTTCAATTATAAACTCATCTGTTACCACAGCAGAATTGATAGCATCCATTCTTTTAAATATTCCCTCATTTTCAATCAAAATTATATGACCCAACATTTATTATGCAATCAATTAAAGGGATGGCATAATACTTAAACAAATTTTTATAAATGGTCTAAAAAATCTATGAAACAAAATAAAGAATTCCTAAGATGGCCAATTCTACCCATACTTCTCTGAAAACGAAGAATATTTCGGATTATTATCTTGACCGTTGCTGTAACCTTTCACCGGTTGCCATTTGTGGTCAACAGACCAAATTTGAATTCAGGACAGGACTGCTGGGGATTGCATCCCAGTTCCGACTTACCTTTGCCCTTGGTCCAGACATTAATTTCCTCGCTGGCCACCCCAGAGCCGACCATATTGTGCGCGGACATTTTTATAATGTACTGATTTCCGCACTTCAATCCCGAGATCGTGAAGGCATTATTCTCGGGCAGTAGCTCGGTGCTGGACCAACTCTCGCCGGCCGTGTGGTACGATATGGAGTATCCCTGGAGCGGAGCTCCCCCATCGTCGGGGGCATCCCAGCTCACGCGAATGCTGTCGGCGGAAGCGTACTGCACGATGATTTGCGGTGCGGCCGGTGGCTTCATCGCAATCACCTGGTACTGGATCTCGTCACTACCGAACAGATTGTTCGCCGTGCACGTATAATTTCCGGACAGACTGCCTTCGACTCCTGCAAAAAAAAAGTGTGACAAGGAAATGGAAAAATCGTTCGCAAATGCTAGTGAACAAAGAAAACCAATCAATTTAATCTGATTTTTTTTCAAAATTATATCTGCAATTATAATCAGCTTATCTGGTTTAAAAAATTTGTTGCTGTATGTACGTTGTCATACTTCAAAGGTTCGAGCTTATCATAAAATAATATTGTCTTACCAGGAAACAAAAAGCCAAATCGTTTTTCTCAACAAATAAATATTTTGTATTATTATTGTTTGGTATTTAACTTACGGTGAATCTTCAGGTTTCCCTCGTTGGTCACCTCATAGAAGGGACTGAATGTTACAGGGCGATCACGGGTCAGCCAGCGGGCACGGGGCGTGGGATTCCCCACAGCCAGGCATTCCAGCACCAATCCAGTGCCCACGGCCTTGCGCACAATCTGACCAAAGGATGCGATTCGAGCAGGAGCTGGAACAGGGAAAATGGCAAGCAAAAAACACAAAGTGAACAACAGAAAGGCAGGACATTTAGTTCGGTAAGCGAAATTAAAATGTTGCGGCTTGTGCGGCTTTCCCCAGCACGCTGAATAAATGTCAAATTTTTAATTAAAGCGACCATTTATCAGCTTATTTGTATACATGCACTTGGAGAAATCGATATTTTCCTAAAAATTAAACTACTATTTACAGTCTTTTATGTACAACAAAAAGTTTCGAAAGTCAAATAACTAAAACAACTACATTCTTAAGATTAACTTGAATATAAAATAAAATGTTGTTTTGGCAAAGTAGATTATTTGGTAATTTGTAGGTTAAATATAAATATTTTGTAAGTTTGTAATGAGGTTTGATTATTTATAGAAGTTTCTATCTATTTTGTTAACTATTCTTTAATTTTCTGAATTATTATTTTACAATTTCTGCCAGTCTTTTTCTAGTGTACTCGTACAAATATTTTTGTGTGTATTGCGTTTGTCTGGCTTCTGCTTACCTCGCGTATTGGTGGCCTGGGCGATCACAGATGTGGGCTCACCTTCGCCCACGGATGTGGACGCCGACACCCAGAACTCGTACATTTGATTCTCGGCCAGGCTGCGTGCCTCGAATATCACCGGATACCCGTTCTCGTCGACACGCACCATGTGAGCTGAACCGACAAAAAAATTAAATGACCATATACGTTTCAATGCCCCCCGTTGGGCGCCATTTTTTGTATACTCACTTTTGGCCTGGCCCTTGCGACCCGCCTCCCTCGCATAAACCGTGTAGTGCGAAATGATCCCGTTGCGATTTTTCGGCGTGAGCCATGAAATCAAAATCGAATCTGCCGTCAGGGCTGCTGCCTTAATGGACGCCGGTGCATCGGGCACGTCGTCGTCCGTCTGGCAGAAAAGTGGATGACTGGCCAAGCCATCTCCAGTGGCCGTGTAGGCCAGCACCCGGATGGAGTAGTTGCTGGCCTTGTGCAGCGTATGCAGGTAGGTCTCCAGGTTCGAGGTGCGCTTGATCTCCAGTTTGGCGGGGAAATCAACTGGAAAAAATAGCACAAATTAAGGGGAAAAAATTAGAATAAGTCTTACAATCAAAATTATATAGTTCAACTATTCTCTCAATGTATCGTAGAGTAAATTTAACTATGTAGGTTTTACAAAACTTGTATGTAATACTGTGCATAAATATAATTGGTAACCAACTGATATTTTGTGATAAATATAAAAAAACTTATATGTGATTATATTTTTATTCATATAAGCTCTGAATAAATTGCAAGCTTCGCATAATAATTGATATACTAACTGCAAACACAAGCTTCTTAGCTTTAAAACATATATGATGTATTTGCAACTTTCTTAATTCAAACGAACACACCGCTTCAATGCAGAGTCAGTTGGTGTTATTGATTTGATGAGATTTGAAAAATCAGTGCCAAAATCAACAACTTGCAGTCTCATCAATGGGCCACAGCACCAACCCATTGAACCCTACGCCAAAACCAATAAAGTTGAGCAACTCACTCACTTCCTTTGCCCTCCGACCACTTCATCCTGGCACATCCTGCTGCCTGGATATCATATCTATAGCTGTTTGCACAGCGCTCTCAGGCTCTGGCAATATCAACAAAATCAGCGTCATAAAGTGCCAACTGCAAACTGACGCAGCTGGAGTAAGTGGGGGCATACTGTGGTGGCTAAAATAATAGCACCCACAATTTGAAATAGTATTTTGTTAAACTCATTTTAAAATTACGCTTTAAAGTAACATAAATTTGCTTTACTAAAAAACTAAAGTAAGTAAATAAACAGAAATATTTAATAAAATCTAGTCTGGTTTGAATCTTTTCAATGCTATGGTCTTGACCGCAACTGTGCGTGCATCATATACTCACTTTGATGCACAATCGGGCGATATAAAATTTTATAGCCCTGTATGATGCCGCCGTGGAACTGGAGCGGTGGCTCCATCCACGAAATCTTCAGACTCTGCGACGACAGGGCGGTGCAGTTGACGTTCTGGGGCGCTGCCTCGGGAACTGGGAAAAGATTGAGGTACACATGGCGCGTATTGCAAGATATCCTGCCTGCGAATCGGGCTCATTAGCTGCTCCACTCACCTCCCTCGGCCGTCGTTCCGAAGATGGCCGCACTCCACGGACCGGAACCAAAGCTATTCATCGCCCGGATTGTGACCGCATAGCGGGTGTACTTGCGAAGACTCCTCAAAGTCGCCTTGGTGGTCGCCCATCCGCTGACAATCGTTGATTTCAGCGAGTTGTTCACCACGCTGATGAAGTTTATGTTCTGCTTCTCCTCGCTGCAGTTTACTGTGTACCCGATGAGCTCCCCGTTCCAAGACTCACGCGGCGGGATCTGCAATTAATCGTTGCACACAAAAGTTTATTAGGTAATAACTATTTGATTGGATTTCTTGCTAGTAAAAATTAAGTCATAAATTTTTACTTTAATTTTCAATTCAATATGTAAAAACTGGCGAATCAGCGTTCTCAAAACAATTAAAATTAGTTAAAATCTAAATAAAATTAAGTTATGGGGTAAGAACGCATATACCCTATTCTACAATGTCATATGAGCTAAGAACTCGTCTGTACTTAACGAATTGTTATGCAATATGTATATGTAGGTAGTCTTATATCATGAGTTTTTTGCTTGAAAGAAAATATATATTTCTTAAGTGTATTAATTGGAACGACACTCACCTGCCAGGTGACAATCAGTTCGCTTTCGCCGCCCGTCTGCACCTGGACATTCGACGGGGCCTCGGTGGGCGCCTCCTCCTGGGTCTTGAGCACAATGGCCTCGGTGTAAGCACTCCGCTCGATCTCGTTAATGGCCTGCATGCGAATCAGGAAGGTGGTCGCTGGGGTCAGACCCGCCACAATGGCGCTCTCCCGCAGGTCGCTGTCATAGCTGTCCCACAAGGCAAACGAGAAACAGCGAAAAACATTGATATAAATGTCATCATATTTCACTTTTACTTTTGTATGAAAATATATGCAATAATATCTGCGTGATTTATTTCAATATGATATAATTTATTATTATAATTATTGACTTTTTAAATATCTGTTTTGAATAATGTACATTTCTACCTTGTAAGAAGGATTCGGGAATAAATGAGGCCCTTTTAAAGGACAATGAAGATATTTTTAAAATAAATTTTACGAGGGTTTAGCAAGTATAACTTTTATTTACAAAAACGTACTAATCAATGAAAACCTGGTGTAAATATTTTTGTCTGTGTACATAGAGGTCCCCACATACCTGCGACTAATGCTTGTCGATGGCAAGCTGACGTTGATGACGTTCTGTCCATTCCAATCCCCTCCTCCCGCACCCGAAGTCCCATGCGATTGGAGGTATTTGAGAGCCTGATACTGCACCAGATAGCTAAGCACCGGTGAGTTGCCGTCGAAGGGTCGCCGCCAGCTAAGCTTCACTGTACGCGAACCGACCTCGAAGAGGTCCAGATTTGAGGGTGTATCTGGTCGCTCCTGCACCGCCAGGAAAACGATCTGCTCCGCTCGTCCATAAGGATTCTCTGCTATACATCGGTACACCCCGGAGTCGTGGCGATCCGAGTGACCAATGGTTAGATGAGAGTCCACACCCTTCTCCGTTTTCATCTCGGCTATGCTAAAGCGATAGTTATTCAGATCGATGCGTCCATTGTTCTGGGTCCAGCCAATTGTGATGGGTTCGTCGCCCTTGGCATGGCAATCCAAGGTCACGGGATCGTTGCGGCGGGAGCTGACATTTCGGGCGGACTGTTCGAAACGGGCGGGTTCTAAATGGACAGATTTTATTATTATACCTTACTTTTTCCCAATATGGTGATTCCATTACCATTCACATTGATTCGAATTGTTTTTTTAAGACCTGTCCCGATTTCATTGGTGGCCTGACACATATAATAGCCCTCATCATTATCCGTTGCCAGATTTAACAGCAGTGAGTGATTACGCATACTCAGGGGCTTAAAGTCCTTCGACCCTTTGCCTGCACAGAGAAATCAAACATATAAAACATCAAAACAAAAACTTTTCAAGTTTAGCCTTTTAATAGCTTTATAAAACTATTTTTACACTTCGTTTTTAATACAAAAAATATTCAAATAATTAAAGCAATTTCCAAATTTTCGAAAAATGTATTTGCAGAAAAGTATATTTGACACTTTTAAACTTTTTAAACTTACTTTTAGCTTATAACTTTTCTTACAGACATCCGATTTTAAAGCGGCGTACTTCTTAATGATTCTGTATTAATTCTCTAAAAATCTGTGTTTTCAATTTCGTTTGTATTTTTCGTAATATTTATGATGTTACTCCTTTTGAAATAAAAAAAAGGCTTGCAGAAAGTGTCCAAAACTGCACATCTAGGCTAATAACTTTTCTTACAGTACATATAGTTTTTAAGCAACACAATTATTTAATTTACAATTGAAGTGTGTAAAATCTATATTATTTTTCTTTTTTTTCCTAGCCCAATTTTATTGTAAGTCAAAGTCTCTAAATGTTAATTGATAAGCTCAAGTGGGCGGTGAAAAGGGACAACACCCCCTTAACCCATTGAACCCACAGGTACTTTAATGAACTGTGCATCGAAATCCCAGACCAGCTGAGGGATTGGGATTGGCAAACTTACCCTGCCCTTTGAACCAGGTAATAGCTGGAATCGGATATCCTTCCGCCTCGCAATTTATCGATATTGTGTTGCCCAGCATAATGGCCGTATCCATGGGCTCGTAGCTCCAGCGAGGAGCCACTGAAACGTGACCGGGCCACAGGGCGAATGCGTAACGAACGGAATGGAATGGAGAACAACGAAAACGGCAACAAAATTAACAACTCTCGACCCGTGTGCATGTGTATCTTTGTTTTGTAGTCCCAAAAAAGGCAAACTTCGCAGCCAACGGCGCACAAATCCTGTGTGATTTATTTTGAAACAGCAGCGCTCCGCTTCAATAGACACACACACACACCCAGCATCCAATCCCATCGCATCGCATTCCATCCCATCCGGAATTCGGAATTCCCGCCCACTCACCTCGCACCTGCAGCTCAGCCGTGTAGTTCACCTTGGCAGCGGCGTTGCTGGCATAGCAGGTGTACTTGCCACTGTGCTTCGCACTGATATCCTTAAAGACCAGCAGCGAATAGAACTCCTCCTTCTTCTCGGTAATCTTGTAAATTGAAAGAAACACAAGAAAGACGGGCATTATTGACAGTATCGACTTTTGGTTACCCGCTAGCTTGGAGTCTGACTAGGAATAAGTATCAAGTAAAGATAACTGTGGAGAATAAATAAATCATATTTAGGTACAACGCTTTAAGCTAAACCGAACGTAAAAGAAAGTACGGAGGCATTCATATAAAATGCTTTAGTCGTTAACCCCTTTAAAAATTCTGGAAACTTTCTACTTCACAAATACAACATGCAACATTCGGTAAAAGATACCCGGTATCGTAAGAATGGCAAGGACAAAAAAAAACAAACTTTTTCGTTGCACTTTGGAGTGACGGGCTTACCTGCAAACTGCTCGGGATGGAGCTGTCGTCCTTCTTCCAGCTGAAGTAGATGGGCATGTCGCCGGAGGAGACCGCACAGGTGATTTGGGCCCGTCCGCCCTCCTGCAGGTTCTTGGGGAACTTGAAGGGCTCGATGACGGGCGGACCTTGATGAGCGATTAGACGACGGGGCGGCAGACGTTAATGTCGCTCGAAAGGAGCAAAATAAAAGAGACAAAGACAGTCCCCTCTACTTACTGTTCACATTCAGCTGCATGTCCCTGCGAGCCTCCTCCCCCGCTCGACTCCTCACGATGCACGTGTATATCCCTTGATCCCGACCCGGCTCCACATTCTTGATGACCAGCTGCCCTCCGTCGGCCACCGAAGCCAGTTCGTAGTGGTTGCCTGGTTTTGTGGTTGGACAATAATGTGTTAGGCCCTCGGGATCCGTGATAACCCCCCTGCAATTTGTCTTACTCGTTGTCAATTCCTGATGCGCCTTCTCCCATCTAATTTGGTCGATGGGATAACCGGCAAACGGACAGTGCACAATTATATCCTCGCCGGCAACGGCTTTAATCGGTCCAATGGCTCTCACATATGGAGGTCCTGCAAATAAGTATGAAGAGAAAACATAAAATATTAAATAAATCAATAAATCAATCACATTCTATTTAATTGACATATTTATTTAACAAGTGTACTTTAATAAAATAAACTTTAATAATTTTAAATAAGCACTTGTAATACACATTTTATATAAATATCGACGAAGAAATTTAATAATTATTGGTCAAATTCATTAATAATTGGCCCAATTTTATTAGCAATTAAGAAACGTGGAAATAAATCCAAATTAATTCGTAATTTATTTACAAAAGTTGCTCCATTTTCCATTGCTCGGAAAAGAGATATAATATTTACAGTCATCTTGTTTGATGATTTAGGACCCTAGTTATTATTTGCGTGTTTTTGCTTATTTGGGGGCATTGTGAAATTTATTAAATTAGTTACAAAATGCAATTAGGCGGGAATACGGTACGAATGCTGAATAATTCCAATTATATTCGTTTGGCACACATGCGACGTTAATGCATAAAGTGCAGATGCGGCCGCAAGACTGTGTGTGTGTGCCTGTGCATTTTTAGTGCTGCTAATGCAACTCGTTGCATGGTTGAATGCGTTGCATAAATTGCAATATTCATAATTAAACAGGCGAACCAAAGCCTGCGGCTTCATCAGTCCTCAATAGGCCGTTGCATGTGTGTGTGAGTAGGGCGTGGGATAGGCGTATTGGCTAGATCTGCTCATAATCGAAATCATTTTGTCATTATTATCCCGGCAAAAGGCGTTCAGAAGGATGAGGAAAACCGACAGCGCCAAAAGGACTATTGCAAGACCGCCACAGAAGATTAAAATTGGATATTTACCTCATTCCCTCTGATAATTTCATTCACTCAATAACATTTTCCCTACATCTTCAGCGACTGGCCGTTCCTAATTTGATTTTCAATTTGAATCAGCTCAAACCTCTTGGCTGCAGGGCAGCATTCAAAACATCATCATTTATCATCAATACGCACGCCCACTTAAATATCAAGTATACGCACACAGGGACTCAAGCTGCCTGTGCTGCATCATCAATCATTCGGCATACAGGGCGTATGATTTATATCTGTCACACATCCATTCGCTTATGCATTATTAACACATTAAGATTACGCTTTTGGAACTGCTTACAATACTCAAAAGCTCAGCAGTCAAGAGGATATTTCTGATATGGGATGAAAAAAGAAGGGCACTCTCGGTGGTTGACATTTTTATATTTGCACAGTTTATACACCGATGTGACATTGATTATCCTGCCAGAAACTCAGGCATTCGCCAGACAATTCACACTGTCTATCTTGTTGGAAACGTCTTTGGTTCACTGACAAAAAATCTTAATTTGAGATGTAAATCATTCAATAGCGACCCTTAAAAATGAATATTACTATGTTTGATTTGGGCATAAGAGATCAGCAAAATTCAAACAATATTTTTTCTCTAAATTATCATATTTTGGAAAATTGTAATACCCATCTTCCACAGTGTTTCTGTGGGCTGCCTATCGTGTGGCATGATTGGAATGAAAGCAACATCGTCATCGTCTTTCTTGTTGCTTTTCCCGATGTCGTTGCCTCAGGAGATTTTCTTTGACTCGCAGCCAAGCTTTTTTCCGCTGAATAGCGGAGTTATTTTCCCCATATCCTGCACTCCTTTCACAGCGATGTTTTTGTTTCGTTGCCTTGGCGTTATTTCCAATCAGCTGCCGTTTCGATTGCCGATTTTGTAGCTTCTCTGGTAGCGAAATTTGCGGCCCTGAGTCAGCGTCTTTTGTGATTTGCATTGTTTGGCCTGCACACAAAAGACGGCTTTTGGCGGCGCGATAACAAAACGGACACAGAAACCCATTTGTGGTACACAATTAAGGTGCCCGGGTGTGGGTAATTGATTTTCCGAGCCAATTTATCAACTTACCGTAAACATTCAACCTGGCCGAGTGCAGAACGCTGCCCATCGAGTTGCTGGCCACGCACTTGTAGAGACCCCCGTCGTCGGGTCGCACGTGCGAGATATTTAAATGGCTTATCACATCGCCGGACATATCGACAAATTGCCCGATCGCAAACCGATGATGCAGCGATACGTCCATGATGGGCTGCGAGTCCAGCAGCCAGGCGAACTGCAATGAGAAGGACACCGCAAAAATCAATAACAGCACGAAGAGTTGCCTCCTAGAAGTAGGCAATAATTTCAGAGCTTAATGGGGGTCTCAGTGTGTGTGCTTGCACTTAGAGAAAATCATTAAGATTAGCTCTGTTTTTATTTCGAGGTTAACAAAGAACATAATCACTACTTTAAAAGAGTTTGCCAAATTGAAGAACAATTATTATAGAATATAATAATTATAATAATAATATAATTTTAAAAAATTGTAATTGTATATTTATCGAAAGATAAGGACATATACATATAATCTAAATATTAAAATATTATTTTAAAGCAATAAAATAAAAAAATCGCAGTTTTATATTTGTTTGTTCAGTGTTTGTTTGTTCGCTATTATAATGCTTAATAAGGCCAATAAAGCATTTGCAAGTGGGTTTTACTCACTTGCGGTGGCGGTGAGCCGCTGGCGGAGCACTTAAGCGATATTAATGGCCCGGGACGCACGTTCTGCTCAATGAAGGTGTAAATCAATTCCGGCACAGTGTCTGCGAAATAACGAGAAAAAGGGGGTTGCGGAGCCCTTGATAAATGCCAAAACTCCGGCTCATAAACTATGCACATCGATGTCAACTCACCGCCCAACTTCAGCTCAGCCATCGCCTGGGCACTGGCGCGTTGATTTTCCACGAGACACTGATAGACGCCGCGGTCGCGTCGTCCGACATTTTGCACCAGCAGCGAGCTCTTCGACAGGAACCGTATGCTGCCCGGGGCGAACAGGGGTTAACGCCGGGGTTAAGAAAGGCAAACAAGAAAAAGTGTTAAAAATGCCGAGCTTGGCAAGCAAACTTTAACTGCTGAAAACTGACAACGTTGCACAAATGGGGAAGCGGGTCCCACAATTTGCCATAAACCCACTCCAAAACAGGCACATGTGTGCACTGAGAGAAACTAACACCCTCAATTCTCTATTTATATATTTTGTATTTCCTAGCCTTAAATAATTTTTCTTAGCCAAGGTAAAATATCTAGATCTTTTTCTTTGTTAGAAATCAAGTTTATCTCCTTATGTAAATTTAATTTTGTTTTCTTCAAGTGCAAAGGATATTTGTGCGCTTTTGTGTTTGTCGTAGCCTTTGGCTCATTCATGCGAAATTTGTTATTTATTTTATTAGCATAAGCATAAAAATTTCTGCTTGATTTGTAATGCTGATTCGCTCGGTCTCCCATTACCCATTCGCATTTCGCATTCTTATCCTTTGGGCGATTTTCCTTGGCCAACAGCTGGCCATGCCCATATATTTACATATGTAGACAGAGCTATAGGTATATAGGTATATAGGTATAGATATATATGTATATGCGTAGAGAGCATGCGATGTTTGTTTTTGCCGGATTGTTTGCCAGCTGCTGCTGCTGTACAAATTTTGCGTGTGAATTTAGTTTGCCTTCGGTTTTGCTTTGGCCCTGGGCCCGGCCAACGTATTATGCTGATTTCGTGTAATTTGCATTAAATTATCAAGATGTGTCCAGGCCATTCGGGCGAAAATATGCACAAAGCAAAGGATTTCCCAGAGGCCTAGGTAAGCAATGCGAGTCGGGGATTTGCATACATTAGGCGGGGAGAATCTGTGGGCGGTTTGCTTAATTAAAAATAATAATATCCACCTTTGCCTCGGCAGCTGCAAGATGTGCTATAAACTAATTGCAAAACCAATCGACACAAAACTGTACACAAATATTTATGCAGCTGCATTTTCAGTGCCAACAATCAAAGTCTTTTGAGCACTGACCTTATACCCATTTTTTTCGGTTTCGGTTTTCTGACCAAACAGGGCAAAGCTTTTAAACAATCAACTGAAATGAACTGAACTGAAATCTGAACGGCGGTTAAAGGGGATACAATAAAAATACAAAAATCCCTCGCTCGTTGCCAGCCACGTTCATCAATAGTAATAATAATAACAGTAACAATAAAACATTTTCGCCAGCCGAAATGCCCTAACAACAGCGGAGTGTAATCTATGGATTTTTTCCCGCTCTTGTTTGTTTTCCATTTTTTCATATTTTGCAGTTGGGTCGGAAGGCTTTTCGCAACTGGCGAAACTGATAAAAATCGAAATCGGCAATACAATGTTGCATGCCTGTCTGTCTCTGCCGCTTGTTCCTATTTCACACAATCCCCACCGGGAGTTTCCATTCCCCCGTCAATTCCCCGCCCATCCGTCCGTCCAATCCCAATACCAGATATATTTTTGGGCTCCGGCTATACTTACTTATCCCTGCCGGTGGTGAGTGCATTATTCGCCTGCAGCGGTTTGCCGTTGTGCAGCCAGTCGATGGCATCGATCGCTGAACCCGTTGTCGTACAATTGAAATTTGCCGTTCCGCCCGAATTGACAATTTGAACTTGCGGCAATATATGCACGGACACATACGAATTGACACTGAGTCGAATCTCTATGCGCTGCTCCCCAAACTGATTCGAGGCCTGGCAAATCTGCAACGAGAGTGAGGGCAGTTAGTGCCAGTTGCTCGAATTTTTTGCCAGGGGAAATCCCCCATTTACAGTCGAACTTCTACACAAAATAATGTTACTCGTTAAAGCATAGTATTGAATAGTTACTAGTATTACAAAATTACTCATAACCTTTTTTTGCAAATTTACACATTAATATAAATATATTATATATATTATACTTAAATTTTTTTCGGTTTTAAAAGGAGAAAAACTATTGAACTAAAAGACTATATTAAGGCATATTTATATTATATTATATATAAATTCTCCTGACAAGGTTTAAACTTTACGTTTAGCTAAAGTTAATAAAAAATTTATTTTTCACATAATTTTTTCGAGCTAGTGAATATTTGTCTCTTGGAAATTCGACTGTATTCTGTACTTTGTAGCAAGGCATATATACAGATTCCCAGCGGTTGGCAGTTTGACGGTTACTTACCCACTTGCCCGCATCGCGTTCGTCAGCATTTTTGATGAGCAGCAATGTGCGCGAAAGTATCACTCTTTGTGACGAGGGTATGGGATAGAGGGCTGCCGAGTCGGAAACACGATACCAGCTATAAATCAGAGAGCATATATATGTAAAGATGGTTGGCAAAGCCTTCTGTTAAAGGCACAAACTCTTTATTGATTTAAATTTAGGTTGCTCCTGAACGAACTGAAACTGCACAGAGTATCTTTATCACATGCCGGCACACACAAATCAATAAATTAATTTTATTTATTCAGACTCACTACATTTTATGCAGAAAATTAAATTTTTACTCTCCTCCCGTACAAACAGAATTTATTGAAGCATCCCCAAAGAAATGTTCACTGCAAACATGTTCATGAAAAATTCGTTGAAAATCGCAATTATATGTGGCTATTAAAAAATGAAAAGAAAATTCAATGAATCTATATGGTTTCCATTTAAAATAATACTTTCAAAGGGTGTACAATATGTAGTCTAGACAAATAAATCATGTTTATTTCGTATACAAAATTAAATTCATTGCTGTTTACTGAGAAGAATAGTTGACCTTCTAAGCGTTCTGTATTAGGCACAAGCTCTTTATTTGGCAAACACAAACTGGAAACTCAATCAGTTACAGAATCACACACGAAATCAATAAAACCAGGAAACTTATTTTGTTATTCTAGCCACAACCACGCTTATATTTGTGCTGAAAACCAAATTATCGCACTGCTCCAGCGTTTATAGTAATCAGTTGGGAAATGCGTTCCCCTTGTAAAATATTCCAGGCACTTTTCTTGTCTGGCCCAGCGTTTATTTTTTGCCATCGGGAACTTTGCTCTTAGCATGTTTGTTTTGTGTTTTTCAGCTGTCTGCGTCCTTGTCGCAAATGTGTCCTCTACATATACACGTTTAGAAATTCGTGAGGGGCGCTTCAAGTGTTTAGAACTGCATGAAATTTTAATAAGCCATGCTAAGTGAAACGGACTGTTAAATTATGCTACCCTATAGGGGGCCCTGCTAACTGTTTTATTTTGCTAATTATCTGTGAAGAGCTGAAGCTAGGGGGTTACTTGATATGTGTTATTGGCCGAACTTTCTTGAGCCAAAATTGCTTTTTATTGTTTGGCCAGTAAAGTGTTGACTTCTGTAAGCCGATCCTTTGTGAGTGGGTAAACAAGATGATTAAGTTACTCGAAGACCATGTGTGTCTGTCGATTGGCTTTCCAGTCTGTGCCTTTATTAGTTTGTTTTCTTTTTTTGGTATTAGCACATGGCTTCCTTGCGCCCGTAGAGTCACCTAATTAGCACTAAAACAACAGTCCCTAATATGCAATAAAGCCAGCATCCCCAGGCAAACATTCGAATGCACTTAAGGGCTGTCTATAATCTCCAACCCGGAACCTCGTGATGTTATTTTATTGCCAGCTGCTTAGATACTTAGATACAGATACCCCCGTACCACACAAAACAAACCAGGCTGTGTGGCCTGAAACTCGGTTAACTCACGTAAATATGGGGAATGGATTGCCCTGGATATTGCACGGCAGATGAACATCGTTGCCACGCTCCACGTGAATCTCCATCACCGGTTTTTGGGTGGTGCGAGGCGCCAGATTCTTGCTAAGCTCTGGGAAAGTACGAAACATTAGGAAGGGGAAAAATCATTATTAAAATGTGGCTCCAATATATTATTTATTATAATTAAACAAGTTAAAAGTTATAATTAAATTGATAACAGAATTCATATTCGATAAATTGGGACTGTGGGTTAATTAATTCAAAAATGAACAAATTTATAAATATTTGTATGTACTGAATTTTAAATCATTTTTCGTACCATTGAATTTTATGAGGATTCATATTAATAAGCGAAAAGTGAAATCATAAAATTGTGCAATCCATTTATTTAGGTTAGAATACTATTAAGGTTATTAGATGAAATTTCTTTACCTTTGACCTGAAGCATTACCGCATCGCTGCGCTGCCGTTCGCCATTCAGTGTATTTGTCACCAGGCAGCTGAACTTCATCAGACCATCCTCGGACCGAACGGACCGCACATAGAGATCCCCGGAGGCGGCCAGGACCACATAGCGACCCGCTGTTAGAAAATCATAAACTCAGGTCACACAAATGACAAGTGCAAAGGAAAAATCAAAGCTTGCTGCGCGGCACATGCCGCGTATACGCAATATTCGCCAATAAATGTCATCCGCCCTGTGGGACCCGACCTGAACGCTGCAGAAAAACTGCAGCTTCATTGCCAGCGAGCAACAAAAAGGAATCGTTGGCACATAAATTTCAGCTACCGATAAACTCCCCCGCCTGTTAAAATGTGGCAACACTCACCGACATCCGACAGATCCGGCAGCAGTATCTCCTCGCCTCGATGCCAACTGGCCACGCGCACATAGGGACGCACATATTCGGGAATGGCGCACTTAATCAACGCCGAATTTCCCAAATAGACTTCAGTGTTTTCCACGTGCACATGGAATTGACGACGCACCACTAAAAGAGCGAGGGCAAAAAGAAAACGAAGCGGTTCAGAACTGGCAACAGAAACCAGAGAAAAACTGGCCGGAAATTACAATTGCAGTCGTAATAATAATAGTAATTAAAAAGAATAACAAAAATTATTTTGTAAAACTATATAAAAATCTGTTATTTCCACTTGTAATAATTTCAAGTTTTAACATATAAATATTTATTATATATTGTAATAATAATAGACTTTGGCAATCTTTGTTTCATGGGCCCTCTGGCAACAAATATAGTGAATATGTTACCAATATTAAACGACCCTCATTATATTAATGGTCTTTAAAGTTTTAACATACCACCATAAAACTATTTGTGTTAGCAACTGCTAGGTAAGGCTGATATTAAGTGGCTGTATGTGTGACACCATTACCAAATTCGAACCTGTGCTGCTATTAATTTGACCGCAGCTGTGAGTGCAGGACTGGGGAATAAAAGTCAACAAACGCTGCTGTCTGCTCGCCGTCGCAAACTGCGCATACAGATGAGCGCATAAAACGCTTTCGGGCAGCACAATCCTTGGCTGGCAGCCTCGATGGAACTGGGCCCAATAAACGGGGCACAATGCAGAATGGCTGCCGTTTAAATGAATGAAATTGCTTAAAATGACATGCAAAGCGGAAGTTGAAGAGCAGCCAAAATACTCGAAGGAAGAAGTGCTCCAGCGAGTGGAAAACGGAGTGACACAGATGATACACATGGAAAATGCAAAGTGTAAATATTGAATGAGATTTTAAGCGACTATCATGAAACGTTGGTATTTTCACTGTGGGCTGCCGGGGATTATGGGGAAGGGGATTGTGTTTGCTTAAGGCCAGGCTGTACAAATACGACCGAAGTGCCCCGCTTTCGAGGTCAAGCGTTAAGAGGCAGTGCACACAGTGAGTGCATAAAATAATTAAGTTAATTTCAGAGCCCCTAGAAATTTGCAGCTGGTCAAGTCTGTCGCATCGATCACTGCTCGAGAGTTGGCAGGAGATTCACAGGATATTAATGTTATATGAAGTGGAATAGAAGGGGTGGAAAAGTGGCGCACAGGTGACATCCCAAGGGCTGCCAGAAAGCAGAATCGTAAAGAATGCCAGCACAACGAACGTGAGCAGCTTCAAAATGTTGTCAACATAATGCGGACCACTATCTCTTTGCTTCGGCAGTGTTGCCAACTTGGCTGGTATCCAGCCAAATCGGGCTTAAATTATTTTTAAAATTTCTAGATCAACTTAAATTATCGTAGCCGAAAATTTCTTATAGTGTATAGGGAGTAAAAAAGTATAGAACCACAGATTGGCTTGTTTGTAAAAATTTTAAAAATTTTCAAATGAATTATTAATTATCAAAAATTAAATTAACGTTTTAAAAATAATTTTTTTTAGAAAATGTTAAAAATGTTAAATATATATAAATGTTATAAAACCGATAAAGGTTTTATTTTTACTGTGCAGTAAGACAATTAGCAATTCTTGTGAAAGACGTATTATAATTTTAACTTCTTCTTTTGGTAATCCATAGTTGGCAGCACTGCTCTCCTCAAATCGAAACTGTAGTAAGTAATGTTAATGGTGGCAGCGCATTCTGCACTCCTCGCCAACGGCCAGCTACTTTGGCACTCCGCCCGTACTAGGACCTATCCCGTAGATGTACTATAGCAGGAAACACTCACCTGCCTGCACCTGAACATTGCGACTCAGGACGGTGCCCGCCTCGTTGCTCGCCCGACATCTGTAGGTGGCCTCGTGCACATCCGTGCGATAATATTGCGCCAGAAACGGTGGGAAGTGCAGTGTGCCGTTGCCTGATATTTTCCTGCAAGTACAAAAGCATCGCCGGCGAACGCCGAAATGCAATATTTTAGTGGGCGCATTCTTTCGGGGTTTCTTCTGCATATTTATTTATTTATTTGCATTTGGGTATGGCGAACGTGGAGCACAAATTTGCTTCACAAAAGCGACAGCAAAGTGGCTACCATTTGCTGGCGAGTATTTTGTACCAGAAAGTACAAGGGGCGAAAAGTGTGAATTTACATAAAAATGCAATAAGCTTAATGCCTGGGGGCATGTTGATCTTAAATGATGTGAAACGGCCTAAGCTTCTATCCTTTCATAACAAAAAATATGTTCTTGAAAAAACTGTCTTTTAATAAAGCAGGCTATACAAAAAACTGTGTATTAAACTATTTATTATTTATGTATTTTAAAAAAGTATAGTTACAAAATATGTACAATAGATAATCTCACTTAACGACAGAATTAATAAGGAATTAAAATTCAAAATCCTTTTCAAAATCTTATTAAATGTTTAGTTTTCGACAAGCTTCACATGCTTACTAGCTTGTTCCTAAATCGGAACGTTAGCTAACATGAGTTGCAGAATCAAAATTTAAGTCCCCTCAGGGCTTTAATGCATTTGATTAGCTCTGTGGCTGTGGATCAGTCCAAACAACAGCCCATCAACCTCCCATCACATAAGTCAGAATCTCCACATTCCGGCCCTCCTCCACAGTCCAAATGCAGTTGCAGTCTCAGTACCGCTAATCATCTCAACTCCAGTTGCAGTTGGGGCTAACAAGCTATGAGACAACGATGAGTGCACTTAAAAAATCCAGGGATACCTTTTCAACTTATCTTGTTTTCTGATGAAACATTTCCCCAAAAAGATTATAAATGATAAAAAGCAATTAACGTTTTCATTTATCTCTTTAAAAATATAAGTAAACAGTTTAAATTTTCAAAAAAAAAAGGATGAAGTTTACCAATATAACATATCTTATTGTGATCTAAGAATAATGATTAATGCCGAATTAGTAAGCTAGCCTTTTTTTCAAGCGATTATCATAATCTATCATCATTTTTCCTGTGCAACTAGATGGGATTTTGGCTTGGCTTGGTCTGATGTGGCATACTGAATGCTGATGCCGAGGACAACAAGCGAGCCAACATCAACCGAAAAAGAGAAAACTTCATCAAGCGCTGTTTTCAAAAATGTTTAAGTGCCAGCAATTTGTTTACGTCTATTGCGTTTGCCTTTGCATGGAGCCCAGCAAAAAAAAATGGCTCCGAGCTCCGTGATCCCTGTCAGTTTTCCATTTTCCGGAGTCAGTCCATCCGTCCGTCGGTGCAGTAGATAAGTACACGTCCTATATACTCGTCACTTGAACTCAACCATGCTCTTTAGTAGCTTAAAATAAATTTTGTTTCATTTCTATGCACTGCCATCGCAACTGAGTTTTGTGCACACTTTTTTTTCGGGTCTGCCAGACTGACAGTCGTCGACATATATACACTCGTATAGTCGTTTTGAATCCCCGGCTTACGACCGTGGGTATGTGTGCGAGATCACGTATTTGAAATGACATTTCATTTTGCGAAACATAAAAATTCTTTTAGTAAATTTGTTGCCATATGTGAACGGCGCCGTGAGTTTATACATTTTTATCTCCGTATTTATTTTCGGGTCGTGCCATAACAAGTGCGCTATTTTTACGATTTATCTACTTTATATGTTTCCTGTTATTTCAATATATTTTTTTATTATTTTTTCTCGTTATATAATAATCCGTTTAAGAGCACAGACAATGGATCAACAGCAATTTGTTAACAGAGCTCTAAACCAAACAAACGGTTGCATATATGCAAATACCTGCAGTATGTTTGCAAAGTGCGTTAATTTTGTTGAGTTCCGACTAATGGTTTCCAACAACATAACCGCAAATTATGGCCTTACTTGTGTGAGCCACTAATGTACTCGCTTTGATTAATGCTAAAGGCGTGTGTACATTCGCATTCAACTTGTCATGCGGCAAAGACTGCGTTTTTTAATATTTTAAATGCTCGCACACATGTCACCCACAGACGAAATAAATAGAAAAAAGCCACGTGAGGTATAGACAGTTGGGGACAAGTTATTAGCACTAAGAAGGTAAGAAGCTTTATTCTATTCCATTTATGTTATCTTGTTCCAAAGGATACTATTCTATTCTTGATAATTAAAATTATTTAAATAAAATTCTAACCTGTTTACTTTATTTACTCTTCTGCGAAAATATAAGTCCAAAATGGAAAAAAATAGACTTTATTTTGGTGTAACATTCTACAAAAAGCTTGTTTACTGCTATTATGCTATCCACAAATGTATATGAGTATTGCTGTGTCTGCAACTTGGTTGCATTACTTTTGTGTAATTTCTTTGGCCTTTTCGAGCAACAAAACCAAAAGCGCGTCTTTTGTCTGCCTCCCCCGCATTGTTGTTATTTCTGCCTTTCAAGCATTTCCATTGAAATTGTGGCCACAAAAATCGCAGAGTGATCAAGGGGATGTAGGAGGAGTTTGGGAGCTTGCTTCGTCTGTTAACATTGATTTTCACAGCTTTTCGCGTCGGTGTCTTTGCGCAATGTCAATTAAAACGAAGCAATTCGGGAAATAACTTTAATGCAACCCGCAAAACTGAAGCCGCAGCAATGTGACTTCCGAAACCGCCGACGGAAGCCACACGACACATACTTATGGGCGCCAACTCCCAACAATAACAGGTACACTTGGAAAATATTATAGGCACTTATTCCTATATATGGCATCAATTAAATAAAAATCAGTCGTCAAAAATATACCCAGTTAAGTTTTGTTGAAGGGCATTAGGCCATTTTTTAAAGTCCTTTCAAGTCCTTTTTCGATGAAACACTTTTTTAAATACCACAAATATTATTTCAAATATTATTACGAAGAAAAAAAATTTTTTAATTGCAGTGAAAATTCTAAATGACGACGCACCCCAAAATATTAAGCATACAGAGCGGGACACTTTTTTCCCAGTGTGCTGTGGACATCCGCTTATTACTACCCAAGTGCATTGTTGGGGACACCGCAGGAACTTACCTGAGGCCCGGCACCTGGGTGGCGAGTGATCCGTCGCGCAGGACCCAGGACACGAGGGGCGGCGGAGTGCCGTGGGCGGTGCAGCTCACCTGGGCGCCCGTGTCGTTGCCGAAGAGCAGCCGGGGAGCGGGTTCCAGCAGGAATGTGGGCACCCGTAAGCCGCTTGTGGCCAAAAGGGGTGTGGCAAGCACTGCCAGCAGCAACGCTCCCAAAAGCAGCGCTAAAAATGGGAAAATGTAGCAGGTTAATTACCAACATTGTCGTCGCTATATAGTTTGTTTAAAACTTTAATGCCGCCACAGCTGCCGGCATTTTACAGACTCTGAATGTGTGTATTTTGTGCAACTCGAGTGCAACTCATAAATGCGGTTAATTTGGATTCGGTTTCATCCGCCCCGCCGCCAGCGAACGCTTGGTGCAGATTCAGACTCACATTTAGGCAGCACTTGACTTCTGAGCCGAGCCACTTGGGCAGCGGTTTACCGGCTACAGCCCACAGTCAACTTTTTTCATATATTTACACAGTCTATGCTATTCGTTTGTGACTGGCTGAAGGCTACAGGCTGCCAGCTCTTTCAGCAGCTGGAGCAACCATAAAAACATAGTTACCAAAAGTGATACTTAAATTAAGAAGACTAGAATAAACCCACTTTGTTAGTTAATTTTGCATATTTTTTATACCTTAATAAAAATATACAAAACCTTAAAGAAAAAAATATTTTAGTTCTTAAGACCTTTAAATATTTACTTGATATTTAATTATTTCAAATGGAATAGTTAAAACCTTTTGAAAAAGTATATTTATAAAAATTGGGATATGTCTAAATCCCTAGAAAATATTTTTAAAAAAATTCCTTATGGTATTAAAATACTCAATTGAATAAAATTAAATAATATGAGGTACTACAGCTTCGAAACTTACCTTTTCCCAAGACTAGACAAGGAGGCTCTAATAAACTCATTTCGTTGCATGAAAATTCAATGTGTGGCCTGTAGAAAATTTAATTTAGTTTCGTTTATTTTTCCAGCAGCTTCTTCTTGTATCCGGATTGTTTGTTTTTCCAATATGAACATATACTGCTCTTTCTGTGTGGCTTTGCTTATGTTTGGCTTTTGTTTAAGCCCCTTGCTGCTGTTATTATTTCTGTTTCTATTTGAAAATGTTCAGTCGTTTCTGATGTTCAGCCACCTGAAATGCATAGAAGACGAAAGCCAACAGTTTAATTTACATATGCATTATGAAAATGTTTTCCTTTCTATTGTTTTGCTGCCAAAAATGTAAAACTTTGCATTTTTAAAGAAAAAAAGGTTAGTTTAGCAATTATAAATCCGCATGGACTCAAATTAAAATAAATACGGTCAAAGGGATTTCTTTTATGTATAACTTCGGTATGTATGTAACTAAAGGTTTGAAGTACTTTTGCTATAGTGTGTTTTATTTCTAAAACAGAAGTTTTGTTTATGTACATTGCATATTCAAAATGGCATTTAATTTTGTTTCCTTTTAAAAAAAATAAGGAAACTTTAAGTCAATAATACAAAAATAATAATTTAATCAACAAAAATGTTTATATTCTCTGAAAACATTTCATTCACATTTCTATATAATCTACATGAATAAGCGATTATTTTGCGTTTTATTTATTTTAACTATTTCAAACATTTTTCTATGTATAACTTTAAACATTGTGCATGTGAAGTTCAAATTATTTTCGATGTCAATTTTATAAGCTTTTCAGCGGGTTGCTGCCGGAGCTGCGTAAACAATCCAAAGGACAATTACAACAATTTGAAATACAGAATACACAAAGTGCTATATAAATATGCCCGAAACTCGACAACACAGGCCGACAGAGGCGAGAAATCAACATCAGTTCTCTGAATTGGGGGCTCCTATTCTGGTAATACCCCAAGAGAAGCAACCTTCACATACTGAATACACACATCCCGAACACATCCTGCTTTTACATTGCTGTAGAGCTCTTGGCAAATACATTTAACGAGTATTTATGAGCGAGCATACGAAATGAATGACTTTTGCCATCATTAAATTTTATTTGGCATGGCCCCGGCCAAGTTTTCCCCTTGCACGAGCTGCCGACTACAATGAAGAAGACATAAACATGTTTTGAGGTCGAGAACCAGGAGTTGAACAGCCGAGTGAAAAAGCTCGGCAGAATCCTTTGCCGCCCATCTCGATTTTCTCGTCTCCTTAGTCAGTCGGGCACTTAGCTTAGCGACTAAATAAACATCATCATGACACCCATTACACACAATCGACAGGCTTTGGATTCTACAGTGAAAGAAAATTAAAGTCGATTTAGGCATTTAAAAACTCCATGTTTCGTGTTCTATTAGGCATTTTTACATTTTATAATTACGCAAAAATTAGAAAAATTTATTTAATGCGAAAAAAATAGCTAAAACTGAAAGTAAGTACAGGTATCTATATTAAAACTAGCTCAAAAATTATAAAATATATGCGATTATATATAAAAATAAATATATTAATGAAACATACACACAAAGAGGAAAATGTTTGAAATGATTTTCATCAAACAACAAGTTTAATCACGGTCTATTAAGAAATGTAATTATTGGGAGATTTATCATATTTCAAGATTCAATAATGTTGTCTTGCTTTTAAAAACCCAATTCTCTAAGATAAATCATAATTTTCTGTCTGTATTTTCGGGGCTGGTGTGTGCGAAGGACAAACAGGGGGCGAAAAAGTGGGCGGTGAGGGTCACACTGAAGAGTTCTTTTAATGTTTGCAACTTGACACCTTTTCAGCCGGCACATATGGGCGGAGGCATCTCTGTGTTTGCATTTAATTGAGAATTTAAAATGATTTGTTTATTCTGGCAGCGTCTTTTGTTGAGCGATTTGCCACGAGCAATTCGTTTCTTTGCTCAGCACTTGGACGGCATCGTCCTCAGCGTCCTTAGTCCTTGCAAGCTAACACACAGTGGGAAGGGAAAGGCTGCGTGTGGGTGTTAGCTCTTTCATTTTTAATGAGTTTTTATTTTCCACGCCTTTGTCCCGTCCAACTGTCTGACTTCGGGATCCTTTTTGCCGGCGGAGGTGGGCCAGCTTCAGCTGACAGGATACAAGCCGCATCCTGCGCCCCTCGTCCTGCGCTCTCGCAAAGCGATTACTTTGGCTTGTGTGTCGGGTGTCATAACTGCTAACTGTCAGCAAATTTGACACTAAATATGTGGACACCGCTTTAGTTGTGTCACTCTGGATTATATAAGCTTTTTATAACTGGGTGTTGCCGCTTGGCGCTTTTGAGCTCTTGTTTATTTATTTTGGTGTGATGTGTGGCGTTGCTTATAATAACTGTTTATTTGGTTTGATAATCCGGGGGAATTCGGCGTTATTTTATGACTAGCTGGTTGCCACCAACATTTCCCTAATTGACAATGAATAAAACACTGTGTAACGGGCTTTTTGAGCTTAAAGTGCTTGTAGTTGGTTTCGGAAAAGGCACATAAATAAATAAAATAATTTATTTTCAACCAATTTTTCAATAAATTGTGACCAAATTTTAATGCTTTGCAAACACCACTCTTTAGGGAAACCTTTAATTACTTTTTATAACTTACTTACACTTTTATTAATGACGGGATCAATGACTAACAATATTATTTAAAAAAATTCTTTGAAATATAATTTTGGTCTCTTAATAAGCCCGATTTTTATTAAATAGAGCTTAAAGTATTATCCCGGGAACCTAATAAAAACGTTTTATTTTAACACATACAATTTGGTTAAAATTCGAGAAGCCCATATAAAAGGTAGGTTTGCAAACTGTTCTTAGAATTTAATCTGAAAACTGCTGAAATTTTTCTTTACTCCCTCCAATTAGGTGATAAAAGGCTCATTATTCGTCGTCCATTGAACTTAACCATTTCGTACATTAGGTTCATCTCCGCCAACGTGGAAACAATTCGTAGCAGGGCAATCAATCCTGCACAATGGAATCCCCGAAAACAGGCCACCTCCCTTGCTGCAGCTATCCAATGCAACGGATACTCCTTGGGAGTCCTTTGCTCAGCATGCACCTTGAGCTCACGAGTGGATGTTTTCATTTTTTATTTCTCACCTTTTTTCCCCACTACAGGATTTGTGTGGCGTGAAAGGCTTTAAGTGCGGAACGCCACAACAAACAGCAAAAGCAATAGCGACGGCAACAATTCAAAGGCAACATGGTCATGCCTTCATGTGTTGCCGAGGCAGTCGAGCGAAAATCACCCCCTGATCCCAAAAACACTGAGGGAAAAAAGTGCGATCTCAAAACGGGAGTTTAGTAATAGTAACTTTAATTTATAGTTTAATGGGGAAATATAATTACTTGAAGCAATAATAATTGTCAACCTGTGGTAACCTCCTAAGAATCTCGGAATTGTTATTTTACACAAAAGACACTCAAAAAAAATAATATTTTGGGTAAAACTTATACATATTTAACCAATGTGAAGGGAATTTATAAATTCCGTTAAAATCAACTTATAAAATACAATAATTGCATGTTAAATAGCTCCCATTCAATTTTATACAGAGGTGGTGTGTTATTTTGTTCAGTGGCTCTCTCATGTCCTGGCTGAGGTTAAACGTTGCTGCATCCGCCGCTGCCACGCCCTTATCCGGTGAAAAGGAGTGGGCGTGAGAGGTGGGTGGGCGAAAAGGGGTGGTGCCCGTAGTTCAGGCGTTAAGCAATATAATTTTTCTTGCTTTGAGAAGGAGCTGTTGAATCGTTTTAACTCTCGTCACCTGCAATGTTTGTTTTCTTTTTGTTCTTGCATGCAAAAGGTGTTGCATATACGAACATTATAGTACATATTCGCAGCACTTTGGGGCGGATGTGTTTGCGTTTAGCGCTGGTTGACAGCCTGGCAATTTATATGCCCGACATCCTGTCAGCCGGGCGGTTTAAAGGCGACTTAAAGCCGCAGCCCCAGCAATTTCCTGTTGGCAGCACCCACTTCTGGGTCCCGTAGCTCCGGCCTAATGCGAAATACCCGGAACAATGGATCCATTTGCACTCGCCCAGACTGAAGTGCAACTCTTTGGTTATAGCCAACAAAGGTTTGGGCCGCAAGTCAAAGAGCATCCGTCGCGGACCGAGTACTCGTAAATGGCCAGAGCTATAGCTCGGCTACGGCTACGAAACAAAACGGACACTGGAACAATGTACTCCCGACCTGAACGATAGTTCAGGATGAACCGAACTGAAATGAGGCTAAGACTACACCTAAAATAAATCTAAGTCACTTGTCAATTTTACAAACTATTTTGCAACTTATAAGTAAACCACTTTTAGAACTGGATATTCAATCGTATGCCAGTTACTTTGATAAAGGGTTACTTATTTTCATACAACAAAGAACTCTAAATCAAAAAAAATTTCATTTATAAAATTAATGAATGAACACAAGATATTTTAAATTCAAAGTGGTTTTAATTATTAAACAATATTTTTATTCCAAAGAGTTTTTTTAGAAAAAACATATTTTCAGTTCATGTTTCTTTTTGAAAGTCTAAGATCAGAAAACCATTTTAAATAAAAAGGCTGCAACTCATCATAAAGTAACTTTGTATCTTTCAACCAATAAGAAACTTATAGTTACAAATAAGAACATTCTTCCAATTAAAGTTACTAATTCATTAAAGAATTTACAAGAATGAATTTTCTCAAGATTTATTTCACTGTATTGAAGCATTGGTATCGAGGATGGGCCACCGGAAATGCAAAGGCGACGAGCCACCTAATAACATTTCGCCCTGCCCGACCCATTCAAATTGCCCCATCCCTGTCCCCTGTATCGCGTGTCCCTACAAATGTTTGGCCACCTTTTATATAACATCAATTCGGGCACAACAGCGGTTGTCTAGAAGGGCAACAAGAAGAATGAGGTACGGCAACAAAATGTAATGGGCGCGCATATTTTTTCTGCCATGGCAACTTTCTATTGTTCGCCGCCTGCCGTTGCAACCGTCCCATTGGATCCGGATTCTACAGATACATATATCTGCGAGGGTTCCAAAGCCAACGGTTCAGCGATGCTGCATTGTCACATTGACAAACCCCCGAGCTTGCTGGGCTGAGCTCTATCTTTGTTCCTGGCCCTCTGGCGCTTTCGAGTGCCTTTGTTTGGTCGCTGTTGCTGCACAGTTAAAAATTTCTTATGATTTTTTTTATAAAATATATATATTTTATAAGAAAAAAAGATTCTAGTATTTTGAAGAGATAAGATAGTCAGGTAGGAAGGTCCAGTTAAGTAAATATAATTTCGATAATGCTTTTCAATTTATATCAATACTATAATATATATATCTGCGAATAATACATTTCTAAACAAATAATAAAACAATCAAGTTTTTGACTTTTCACTTCTAAAGAAATATATTATTAATAATTTTTACAAATAAAGATTTTTTTCCTGTATACTGATGTTGCTGTCGTTCAGTGTGGGGTTCTTGTTGGTATTATGAATAAAGTTGACTTGAGTGTATTGCGAGGACGTTGGCCATGGCGGTGACATCGCTGGCTTGTCTAACAAATAAATTTAATTGGTACAACCGCTGCAAGCGAACTCTGCTCACAACTCTTTAATATTTTCCGCTTGATAGCAGTTGGAGGTGTCAAACGAGGAAGTAATTTAGCGTGAATGTGGAAGACATAAAAACGTAATGCGACCGCTAAATACAGCTGTAATGACAGCGTCAATTATGTCTTCTAGAAAGTTCAGTGGACTGGATAGAGAGTTAAAATCTTGTTCTTTTTTAAAAAAACACCTTCAAAGACAATTTGCCTATGCTAAAAAATATAAAAAGAGTTAAAAATGTATTAAACGTAAAACCCTTACGCTAGAGGCAAATAGGTTAAAAGTGTATTACCAGCACTAAGTTTATTATTCTTTTTATACGTGTGAAATATGCTTTACAAAAATGTTCACACATTGTCCCACTGAGAATGTTTAAAAGCCTTAAGAACTTTTCAAAGCCAAACTAGTATCAGAACAGAATAGCAAAGTGCAGTAGCACTCAGAAAAATGGGATAAAGGTGGGGTTTTTGTGAAACTCAACCGAATCGAATAGAATTCCAATAAAATGTAAATTTTTCCCTTGACCACATTCCTGTTCCTTTGTGCGCTCGCTATCTCGGGTTACTCTTCAAGATTGGCTTCACAGCCGCACCCGTTGCATACAAATATTTTCTGAGATTAAAATTTAATGGACACCCCACAGCCATGGCCCCCGATGGCCAGTCGAACTGAAATTGGCAGCCTTGTGCAACATTTCCAGCTTATCTCCGGGCAATGCATAATTCAACAGCTTTCCGGATCCCAGAAGCAAAAACCAGAAATGGGAGAAAACAAAACCAAAAAAACCAATTTTTGTTGGCCAAGCGGGCAACTCAATTTGCTTAGACTAAGCAACAAACAAGCACCGAAAACGGCGAATCATTCAGTGAAATTACCTCGTTATCTTGCAGTTCCGAAATCCTTCGTCCTGGCTGCAGGATCCGCCGCTTATGTGGAGTCGTCTGGCATAGGAATGTGATTTTATTATTTTTGGCAGCTTGCCCGGAACACTAACACATATGTCTGGCAGCTAACACATGCTAGATGGCGAAAAAAATCATGGCATATTTTGCGGCTGCATTCAACAATTGCCAAAAGGTGGTCCGCAAAAAAAGAAAGGCGTTGGAGAAAAGAGAACGAATCGCGGCCATAAATTATACGCAGTGCATAGACGGTAAATTTTTATGGACTTGTGACTGGGCAACGATTCTGGATTCTCTTTTTTCTCCTTTGGGACTTTCTCCGCCTTTCTTTTGGCCATTGTTGCCGCACTTTTATCACACTTTGATAATCGCACAGCACATGCTTCACGGCACGTCATCGCTGACAGCTCGATGGCCATTCGATTCAATTTGCCGCTCCATAAATTCCCGCAAAAAGTCACCGCTACATTTGCATTTTTCCCAACGAAAATATTTTCGTCGGTGTTTTTCCCGGGCTTTTCTTTTCCCGTCTTTTTACGGGGTTCACTTGGCCAACCTTTTTCACACTTTTCCATTAGCCAACATTCGGCCTGCTTAGCGCTCAAATTATTTCACCTTTTATTCAATTTACTTTATCCACTTGCCAGGGGTCCTTTTTGTGTTTGTGTGTGGGTGTGGGTTTGGGTGTGAGTGTTGTGTATGCACCAGTAGCTTCCGTTTCCGCTTCCGTTAGGATGTTAGGACCCCGTGTGCACACAAAGAGTAAGCGTTTCTGGGGGCCCAGCGAAAATCCACTTTTGTTACATTTTTTATGAACACATTCGTGCGGACAAATAACCCGTGAAGTCAGTAAAATCCACGATAAAACCAAACACCACTCACACGCACATATAACACATATAGGGGCGAACAAACAAAATGTCAGCTCTAAAATTGCGATGCATAGTTTTAGGCAGCGCCACACATACACAGTTAAATCTCACAGACGCCGAAACATTGATGTGTGCACTGAGAGAATGGCGAAAAGCGAGCTCAATAAACTCAAAATCCAATAGCTTTTTAATTTAAACTTGGTTAATTTTTAACATCACATTCAATTTTTCTGCTTTCTAGTCTAATAATTATACTTTAAATTAACTTTAATTCTTCACATACAAACTTTAAAGAACAAAATAAATTAGGAGATAATTTGTGTTAATATAAAATCATAAATTTTGGTCTCAAAAAATATATGTAATTTTAAAGGGTATCAAGAAACAGATTGCCTAAATTTTTAAGTCTAAAAATATACATTTTTTTAAAGGACTCGAAAGGATTTTTTTGTCTAAATTAATTTTTGTAGTTTAGCTATTTCTCAGGAGGAGTATTACGTAGACATAACTAGTTTCAGACGATATTTTTAATGATTTTAAGTCAAAATGGATTTTTGTAAAATTTGTTAAGTATAATTGGCTTTTGGTCTTAAAATTAATTGGTCTAAATTAATTATCAGCTTTCTCTCTGTGCACTTATCCCTTTATGCCCACACACACTGGCCCACACACATCCGTGCACTGGCCACTATCACCGTTGGCACTATAGTCACTCCCCGAGGCAGCATCCATTAATGCTTTTTCCATTAAATCCCCAAATAGTGCCTAACACACACGCACACTCGCTGGATAGTTTATCCTTGTGTGTGTGCCGATGCTTAACTAATACTAGAACACTACCACTGGCAACTATAGTTGCGATATCCCGATTTCGTCCGCTTGACACGTCCAAACAGTTCGAAACGCCGGCAATGACTGAATCCTGAAATCGTCCTCCGCCGCCGACGTCGCTGCAGGCGTCGCAGCGCTGCCCTCGTCCTGTCGCTTGGGCTTATCTCTGTCAGCGTAATCGCTTTGCCCCTCTCTGTAGCCTTACCACACCCACCCACCGCCTCCCCCTTTTGAGGCCGTTACTGCAACTGTTGCCACTCGTGGCCCACAATCGAACGACGCCGACTGCGACGCCGGCTGAGCAGTCAACGCTGCGCCGACGGCAGCGCATCTTTTCGCATTTCTCTTCTCTCTCAGGACTTCGATTCTCTTTGCTATCTGTCTGGCCAAATCCTTTGGGGGGAAAAAAAGAGAAAAATAAAATAAGAGAAAATATACAGAGGATGGGGGCGTAGTGGCGCTCACTTGTTGTTGCTCTGCGGTTGTTGACATTCCTATGAATGACTGAATATATTTAAATTATTAAAACATCTGTAGCATATTCATAAAAGTAAAATAAAAAAATATATTACAAAAAATTGTTTATTAATATCGTACAATAAGAGATTCTCTAATTTCGTCAATACATGCCAAACATTTATTTCCCTAAAATTGTATCGTAATTAACTGTTCCCGAATTATTTGATTATTTTTAATTTTGTTGTCTCAAAAAATAAATTAATTTGTTAATTAATAAAGTCATTTTAAATACATATTGTTTACCTTGACATTTAAATGGCTTACCTATAAGAAAAAAATGCAAGTTATATTATTTAAAACTACTAAAACCATATTTTTGATAATAACAAGAATTTCAATGCTAGTTTTGAATTATAAATATTTCACTGAAAAAAAAGAATTCACGTATTGACAACAATGAAAACAAATCAAAATTTGATTTAGTACATTTTGCCTGGTATTTGTGAGGAGATAAAATAAACACAAATCCTATCCCCTATATCATGCATGGGTTTCCTATTTGTATTTATTTCTCGGCCTTCCTATTCAATGTTAAATCCGCTTTTACTGCATTCCTACTGCATTGGGCACTTCATCACCTCTGCGGCGACATGTGACATCATAAATCACGCTGGATGTCCGCTGCACGAATGCCACTTTGGCGCCAAAAGTTATGCTACATAAAGCATGATACACATGCCAACAAAAACCCACACCACCATGAGCATCTCCTTTTTATTTTACTACGCGACTTTTAGCGTAAACTGTCATTCAGTTTTGCACACACACATTCTGTTGTTGTTTATTTATTTGTTTACCCTTCATTTTTCCCATCCAAGCACCCACAAAAAATTGGCCAGCACGTGTTGCTTTCCTGCGATTTTCTCTGCTGTCAACAAATTGCGTACGCATGCGCGCTCTTTCGGCGTTAACGGCGGCAGAGAAATCAACTGGCAGCGTTTGAAAAGTTTTCAAAAAATACTTGACCTAGGGCAAGCGGAAAGCAAACGAGCCCAGCGCATTGGATGCCACTTATTTAGACACAAATGCGTGCGAGTGAGAGGCTCTCGAGGACTCCGGCTGTCAAAGCGCATTATGATTTTCATATATCATGCCAAATGTGGAAGGTTATTCCGCTTTTCCCGTAACATCATAACATCAGCCGAAAGGTGAAAGCTATTATGATGGCCCGAAATGATGAATCAACTCAATTTTCCACATGGCTACAGGCGAAATTTGCACTGAACTGATAGAAAATTATTATATAATTTCCAATTCGTACCTTCCTGGGAAAATAAAATAAAGTCATTTAATAATAGCCAAAACATTAAATAATCATTTAAAGCTATCAACATCAACTTCTAATTCTAATTGAGTAAAATAAAAAGTATTTTCTTTTTTTCCAGTACATTCTTTGGCCGATAAATCATCGCCGTGTGCCGAATGAAGTTGCATAACTCGATTGCCAGGCAAACATATTTGCCTTGTCATTAATATTTCTGCCAAGTACCTGCATGGCCATGTTTCTCACGTGCTCTTTACTGCTTAGCAGGGATATTAAGTATACGCCCGAGTCCCGTGTGGAGAAAATGCCTTGTAATTAAATTTAAAAGCATTTCATGCAACAGAGCATAAGTGAATTATTAGCTGACACCCATAAACAAGAGCCAGGACACCAGTTTGCTTATCCCAGAATGAATGTATGTGTGTTTTCGTTTAAACAAATGACTTTGGCCATTTATGAGCCGTTCTCAGATAAATTACGAAATTGTTATAATTTGGCGGCGCAGCACATTGGCAACAGCCCCAAAGATCCGGACGCACAATGGAGCTATAGGAGCTGTTTTTGCCGCACTCCTGTTGCTTTTTGCCAACCTCTAATATAATGTTATGTGGCATGGTGCTTTGCTTTTTGCGCCTTTACAGCTCGGAAATTGTTCGGTGCGAACTTGGGTCTTAGCAAATGGCATAATTTACGCAGTCCGCTTATCTCGCCATTTAATTTTAGATTTACGAGCTCAATGGCCCCTTTGCATAGAGGTCTTGTTGCGTTTGAATGAGTACAACTCAAGTTGGCATACGGAAGTTTAATGGCTAGAAAGTGTTTTATTTATCATCAGTTGGCAGACGGGCTTATAAATGGGTTACGACAAAAATTTTCTTTTAATAGCAATTAGTATTACGTTTTAAACAAGGTGCTTAGTTATAGCATTAAAAACTCATGGCTTACTTACAAAGCAAAGGTTTCATTTATATGGATATTCCTAGGATATTAGGCATAAACTTATTACCAATATTAAGTATTAATAGCTACTAAGAAATAATTGAACTTGCAGAAACACAATTACACGTCTTTTTTATCATTACATTATTTTATATATTTTATATTTCATCACTTTTTGATTTACTTTAAACTTTTGTTTAGTTTTCATGGCTTTCCACACCAAAAACTACGAAGGCCAAATACAATTACCTTAAATAACGCAAATAGTTTGCTTTTAAAAACTTTCCAAACTCATTTCAAGTTGATCAACCTTTCACACCACAAACTTCAGCTGTCATAGCTGGCGCTTAAAGTGCCATTAAAACATAATTATTCCACAACAATAAAGAAGCCCCGAAAATAAGTACATTTTTAAGTTGCCATTTCTGCTACAATGCTAATACAAACCACACCCACTTGGATGCTTATCCTTTCGACTTTTCACGGCCCCACAAATTTGCCAGCAATGGATGCCCTAAACTTTTGCTGGCCGCCACAAATGCAACAAGAATAACAACATCATTCAGGGTTTGTGTAAGGAAAAAGTGTTTGCCAGTACACGAAAACTTTTTGCAGTGGGTTAAATGTGGGTGGGAAAGTCTGCTTTCCTTGTTGAGAGCTGAAGACCGCAACTGGGGGGCGGTGGTGCCGATGATGATGGCTTCGCCGTTTCCCGGTGCCCGTGCCAACAAAAAGCCATAACAAAACCGCATCATTATCATGAAGCCAAGAAATAGAGCAGGATCCAGCATCCACTATCCGAGTGCCAACTGCCAGGAGGAGGACGAATCGGAAGCGTGGCGCTGCGGCGACCCAGGGC